GCCCTTTTCCTCTGGGGCCGCCTCCTCTTGAGCCTTCCTGGCTTCCTGTAGCATGTTGACGCCTCGTTCTTCCTCCACTGTTATTTGTACCATCTGTCGTGATGCTTTATAACCCGCTGCCTCTTTTGCAGCTCGATCGGCTTCCTGATTTCCTCTGGCCACCATGCCAGTCCCTGAGGAGTGGCCTTTGCATTTTATGATGCTCACCTCCTCTGGATCTGCCAAGGCCTGCTCAAGTTCCTCCATTTCCTTTTTGTGGCAGATTGGTGCGTTATCTGCTGTCCTGAATCCTGCTCTTCTCCATTGGGCCAGCTCCACATGAGCTGCTCCAAAGGCATAAGCTGAGTCCGTGTAAATGTACTCGGCCGGGTTGGCAAGGCGCAAAGCCAACAGACAATACTCGGCGCTGTTCGGCTGACGGCGGCCCTGCAAGGAACAAGCACAGAGATGAGCCCACTGCGAGGCCAAAGAAGAGCAGGGGAACCGTGCACGAAAGCTGTCGGGCGGGAGGAGGGCGGGAAAACGGACTGGAAACGCGGCAAAGTAAACCATGTGCAGAGAGTCGGTGTAGCGGGTGTGACAACGACGCGGCAAGGATGGGGAGAGGAAAGAAGGGGGAGAGGGCCTATAATTAAGCAAGACGGCGCAGAACGGGGGAGGGAAGTAACTACAGCCCACGGAAGGCGGGACATACCGATCATAGAATAGGTGGATGCAATTGAAAATGGAAGGAATGAAAAGGGCGACCGAAGTGCCGGGAAGAACGTCAGAGATATTACATCACGTGAGCCTTGCCGAACAGGTCCAGTAATATAAGTACTCAGAAATCAAGGAAAAAAAGATCTAAACTTAATCATTGCAATTACTGAAGAGAGCAAAAATACACGAATGTAACCAAAAGAAGTAAGGTCACACCACACCACCAGGCCGTCGCTGACTCCTCCTACCGGTGTCAGCCGTCCATGAGGTCTCCAAGCCACCACCAACTCCCCCGCGGGATCAGGCAGGGGCGCCACCAAACCAGTCGCCTCGCCAAATGCCCGCAAAGTCAGCGCTGACCCTACGCCTCACCCTAGCAACAGCCGAGGCGTGGGCACCAGGTCCATGACGCGGCTGGTCCAGCTGACGTCGGATGCAGGAACAGATGCATGGCACAGCAGTGAAGGAGCGCCTCAGCGAGGACCAACGACTGGCTTGAGGTGCCAGCCTCGCGTTCGATGGGGACTCTACATCGAAGAAACGTCCGGACGCATAAAAGAAACCTGAGCGGCGCGCTACCCACCTACTGCTTCTCCCCGCTCACGGACACGACCCAGCGAGCACGTACCACACTTCACGGCTGGCCCCAACACCGCGAGCACTACCGACCGGCTCAGCTCAAGAGCATCACTATCCTCGCCGAGCTTCTCCTCGGCTCGGCGCAGCGCGAGCTCCTCCGGCTCGCCGAGCTCCCTCCAGCAGCGCGAGCTCCTCCGGCTCGCCGAGCTCCTCCGCTGGCGGCGCGGAGCTCCTCCGGCTCGCCGAGCTCCCTCGGCTGGCGGCGCGAGCTCCTCCGGCTCGCCGAGCTCCTCCTCGGCTGGCGGCGCGAGCTCCTCCGGCTCGCCGAGCTCCTCCGCGGGCAAGGCGAGCTCCTCCGGCTCGCTGAGCTCCTCAGCTGGCGGCGCGAGCTCCTCCGGCTCGCTGAGCTCCTGCTCGGGCAAGCTGAGCTCCTCCGGCTCGCTGAGCTCCTCAGCTGGCGGTGCGGGCTCCTCCGGCTCGCTGAGCTCCTCAGCTGGCGGTGCGGGCTCCTCCGGCTCGCTGAGCTCCTGCTCGGGCAAGCTGAGCTCCTCCGGCTCGCTGAGCTCCTCCGGCTCGCGAGCTGCCGGGCTCTCCGCTGACACCGGAAAACATAGAGGCATCAAATCACAACCCACATGACATCGGGCCAAAGCTGAGCACTCCAATCACCGCGGCCATCGCACCTGAGTCAGCTCACCGCTGGCGTTGCGCAAACGGAACCTCCTCACGAGTCCTCGCCAGTCGAGCTCCGCTCGATGACAATGCTGAAGCCATCCGCTCGCCGATGCTCGCTAGACTGAACACTAGACAACCAGGAACAGTTTCTTGGGGTTTCCAGGAGCTTATAGCACTCTACCCCTCACGAACAGTTACTCAATAGACACCATGCTGGCGAATGGTCGAACCGGCCGGAAAACTTCCTTAACCCTACACTAAAAAATCCCCAAAGCCAACAAATGACCCCAGCAGGCTAGGACTTCCCTCTCAGTGATGTGCAGCTCAATCCCCCGAGATGGCCATATAACCTCCTACCCACCCACGTACTATGACCCCTTGCTTGGTGGTGTGCCTAGTATACTAACCAGCTCACAGTCAACGTCATCGTTAGACACACCTCTGTAGTGAGGTCGCTCTCTCCTGGAACCCAAAGGCCAACTGTGATCGCACTTGGCTGCAGATAGCAGACTATCAGGAAAGGAGTACTGGACCATGGAGACTAAGAGCATGAAGGCTGGAGGTGCGCAGAGCGCAGCATTGCGGGCTAAACCTGACGCGCTCGGAGTGATACGCGTCGTCGGCACTCAACGCTCGAACCCAGGCATTCAAACATCGTTACCAGACGGAATAAAAGGTTGGAAGGTGAGCACCTGCTCCGACTAAAAAGGCGATGATTCAGCAGGTGACGGTCATACGAGAGGATCCTACAGCCTCTCCGTGCGAAGCCCAGAGTCATTGCCTTCGAAGACTATCTCACACGACCAGCCGGATAGGGCGCGTCGACACGGCCGAGGCTCTGCAGCTCCTGCGGCTACGCCGGCACCCACACCCCCCTCGCGGCAGTCCTTGGAGCCGGTTAATAAGAAACCAACAAATAGGCCCAGAGCAATAAACGCTATATGTGAAAGATGGCTGCACAAACATAGCCAGCATCCCCCAAATACCTATTCACTCCAAACCGATGCCCCCACCATCAGTGACGCATCCTGACCTAGCTGAAACATCCTCGCCTCCAATCCTCATGGAACTCACCAGACGCAAGCCTCGCGCACCTCGGTCTCGACAACGACTACGTGTATGGAAGATGAACGCTTCGCCAAGGTGCGAGGACAACTTCGCTCGACCCTCAGCAGCCGCGACTAACAAAGCCAATCACCCAGACTCCAAATACAAGCATAAAACACCACCAAAAAACAAACCCACAGGCACATCAGCCCGACGCGCCCCGCGGCCACTCACTCTACCACATCAGACCACCTACCCCGCGTCAACAACAACCCCAACTCGAACCAAAAACACAACAGCAACTCCACTGACACAACTGACACAAAACCCAACAGCACGAACACACGCACCCCATACCACCTGAACACATTGCCATGCACGGCACCAGAAAACACAATGACAAACCCGACTCCTAAACTCAAAAAGCTCTAAAGAAACCAAAACAGACCAAACGTACAGGAGAGCCAACAGCAACTAAAAAAAGACACTAAACATCAGCACAAAGCAGCACAACTCAAAAGACGCCTCTGAAAGTAAATACACAAACTAACAACCTGAAAACCCCCCACCCACTATACTCCGCAAACACCCTAACGGAACACTCCTTGACGAGCCACAGCGCACCACACTACCAACGGCCCCAACAATAAACACTACACTCACCCCACCCCCCCCAGACCATCACACACAAACTTCACCTACATACACTTCCCCCTCACCCCACGACCAAAAGAGATCCACACCACCCCCCCCACGCACAAACCCAACATACAGGCAAACAAATCAGTAGCTCGTATATAACCGCCTGCCACGCCCTGCCACCCTCAGACACTGCAACGACGCCCGCCACAACTCCGTCACCAGACACTGCCTTCATCCTACCATAATCCCCTCAAAAACAACACACTAAAAAACAGGACCCGTCCACACTCAGAACACCCGCTGCTCCTAACTCAAGACCGCTCACGGCACCCCCGACCCTCGCAGCCAACAGAGCCAAACAGCAAACGCCATCAACACGCCCTACACTCATCCCAGCATCACCCCCAACCACCCAGACCGGATCAGCCGCCCAACAACCTCCCAGACCATTCCAACAAGCCCCAGAAATGAATGCCACCCAATCTGCCTGATCACACCACACAGAACACACACGAAAGATCCACCCCTACATCAGCACACCCCCTCACCCCCCACCCCCACACCAACGCTGCACCGCCACCCACCAGCCAACGAATCAAGTCAAGACACCACCCAACTCATCCCAAGCCCTACAGAAAACGCTGCTGCCGAGCCAGCCAACAACCTCGCGAAGCCTCGGCGATCCATCCGCTCCTTACAGGCCTGTGAATACCAACCCCCCCCCACTACCACCACAGAGCACTTCCGGGCAGAACCACCACACCCATAAAAGCCCACAAAGTACTCCGAACAAAAATCAACGCCAAACACGAACAACTACACGAATCATCATCCACCTTCACCCTCTCCATCACCAACGCACCACACAACAAACAAACGCAGCCGCCGCAAAAGCGCAACCCCAACCCAACGACACCCCAGACACTTGCGCCACCGGATCTCAGCACCCTCTCACGCGACACGCGTACCCCCCCCTCAGCAAGGACCCTCCACAGCGCACCAGAACTCCCTCGCCATGAAGAACAGTCGCCCCTCTCGAGGAGATAACACGTGGGAGTGGATAACAATACCAAACGCCCACACACTCTAACACATACCCACCCGACGCACATCCATGTCAACACACCACCTCACTCATGTATATAGAGATAAGTATAAAGACATCACACAACACGAATCCAACCAGAACGCATCACTAACAGAGTATAACGAATTGCACTGAATGGCATCCGCTAGCAAAACCAGAAAAACTCTCCCCAACACAAATAACCCCATCTAATCACAGCCGTAACCCATCCCAAACCCAGCCCCGCCCAAATAGACCCTCCGCCCACAAACCCAAATCTCCCTACAGACCCATGCACGCCCCCCATCACCCGCCCCCTCCCCGTCCGTACCCCCCGTGCCCACTCCGCCGCACTCTACTCCCCTTCCGCCGATTAGGCCAACACCCCGCCCAACGCCAGACCCGCCCGAAACCTTCCACCTCCCAACCCGGGACTACCCCCCACCTCCCCCCACCCCATCCCCCACTACCATACAACGCCCAACAGCCTCCGAATATCTGCGCCTCTCCGATCAAACGACCTCGAATCATCCCCAACTACACCCTCCCCTTCCCCTCGGCCGCACACACCGACCACATACATCGCAAATTTCATCCTCACAAACGACAGCAACTCACAACCCCCCCCCCGCCCAAAACAGACAAACCACCAAACCCAGATACCAACAACGTAACTCGACTCGGGCGGGATCATTTCTGTCACCACCCGGATACCTGTGCCCCACGCCTCGGCGCCCCCACATCCACCAGACCGCCCCCAACACCCCTGCACGCCACAGAAACAAAAACGCGACAAACCAACCACCACCGACACCACCACTCACGGTCAACCCCCACCCCCACCGCCGACGCACACCAAGCACCAAAAAGCCGCAGCACGAACAACCCCAACCCCACCAAAACCCGCCACGCCCCCCACCCCCCCAACCCCCCCGATCGAACACCCCCACACACGAAAAACAACCCCACAAATCCAAGCCCCACACCACAAAAAAACCACACGCGCTAGTCCCACGCCAGTGCGCGAAGCCCACCACAAAGGAACTCACAGAACGCGCAAGATAGCACACCCAACTCGGCACCCTATGCACCCAACATGAAAAAACCCCGGAACCCCCAACAAAACCCAACCCCAACAACCAACACCCACACAACAAAACAAACAGCCAGAAATAACCCACCCCAAACAACCGCAACCCCCTCCACCCCCCCCACCAACAGCACAAACCCCCAACACAAAACAAAACAACAAAAAAAACGAAAAAATCCGATCGCCCGATCACAATAACAAAACAAAACAACTCGACTGAAACAAAAAACAACAAAAACAAATCCAAAAACATAACAACCACCCGCCCACACACACATAACCTACCCACAACCAACACACAAACACCCAACCCAGTCCACCCAGAAGCTACACCAATCAAAACACAACCCACAACACTCCACACCAACACGCCAAACCAGTGGCCCAGACATCACCCACCAGACTCAACCGTGTCGTGATCTACCCAAACGTGACCCATAGTCCGATCAGTTACTCCATCCAAGATGCTAACTGCCGCTCCCGTGATACAAACACCCCGAAAGTCAGCCTCCAGCCTGCTCAGCTCGCGTCTTCCACCGACTGGCCTCACCTGCTGGAGACAACAAAAAAAGCACCGCCACGCCGTCAAGAAGACCCACAACATACTGACACACCGCGGAGCGCCAGACAAACCACCACCATAAATACTACAAACAAGACGCAGCCGTCAGGACACATACAACTGCGGGCATCGCACACACACTAACTCTAATAACAGGACGACTAACGTGGAGTCTCATGCAATGATCCCGCGTCGGTGGGAGCTCCAAGACTCTCCTAAGTAGCTCCCCCGACGAGCCCTGATCAGCGGCAGGTGTGTGGCTTCGGGTGTGGCCAGTCCCTCCGCAGGGCCACACCCCTCAGGCCTGCAGGTGGCCGAGCACCATCCTCCAGGCACACCCGC